TACTTTGGTCATGTCATTGCGAGATAATTCACAGAAGAAAGCAATTATGTTTGGAAGAGTTAAAGGAAACCAGGCCACCAAAGAACACGGTGGTGAGACACCACCAAAGCTGACATCAGACAGAGCATAGAACAACTCAAAGAAGCAGTGCAAAATCGGGAGATGGGAGAAACCCAATCCATAAAATCTCCAAGTGTCAGACAACATCATTATCACCATCTCTCCAAATTAGAAAAATCCTACTTGGGACTCATACAGGTAGTCCTTGATTTACAACAGATTTTTTTTAGTGATCATTCAAAGTTACTACAGCACTGAAAAAAGTGACTTATGACTATTTTTCATACTTATGAACTTGCAGCATGGCCAATTTATATTCAGAGACTTGGTAAGTGTTATATAACAGTTGCAGCGTTCCAGGGTCATGCTATCTCCTTTTGTGACCTTCAGAGAAGCCAAGTCAATGTGGAAGCCAGATTCATTTAACTGTATTTACTAGCTTAATAAGTACAGCGGCTCACTTAACAAACACGGCCAGAAAAGTCATAAAATGGGCAAAACTCACTTAGCAGCAAAACCTTTGGGCTCAATTGTGGTCATAAATCCAGGACCAATTATGTTTATTCACTGCCAAAGACCTTTCTCTCCTACCAAGCCTTTTCCATTTTATACTACAGTAGATTTGATTAAAAGCTTCTTGAGCTATTTGTTATTTGTGTTTTCCTATTTGCTACTTTTACCTTTTAATAATTTTGGAAACATTCAATGATCTAATATTTTTTTATCATTCATCCATAGAACTTGAGATACTGGGCAAATGGCAAGCAAGCAAACAAACAAACACACAAACAAACACAACACTACTACAAGATCACAAGGCAAAAAACATTATAGCCATTATTAGCACTTGGCCCAGGCTTAAGAGTGCAGAATGTTCTCTTGCGTCTGCTTATTTGAGGCTTTTCACATACTTAAGTAATATACTGAGTTTTACAATTCAATCCTATGCATGTTGAGTAATCAATTGGAATTATGTGAGGATGTACAGAAGGGATAGGAAGCCTTTTTGGGACCAAGGGTCAAACTTTTTTTTTTCAGCACAGAAGAAATATGGCAGTGATGCCTGATACCACTGAAGAACATACTGTACATCATATTTTTCACCTCTTTTATGTGTGTGTTTGGGTGTGTTTGGGGAATAGCAACTGAGTAAAATAAATACTTGCTCCTGAGGAGGAAAGCTATGGCAAAGTTAGGCAGCATACTAAAAAGCAGAGACATCACCCTGCCAACAAAAGTGTATACAGTCAAGGGTATGGTTTTCCCAGTTGCCATGTATGGTTGTGAAAGTTGGACCATAAGGAAGGCTGAGCATCAAATAATTGAGGCCTTTGAACTATGGTGCTGGAGAAGACTCCTTGGACTGCAAGGCAATCAAACTGGTCAGTCCTAGAGGAGATCGACCTTGACTGCTCTTTAGAAGACCAAATCCTGAAGATGAAACTCAAATACTCTGGCCACTTAATGAGAAGGAAGGACTCACTGGAGAAGAGCCTAATGCTGGGAAAGATTGAGGGCAAAAGAAGAAGGGGACGATAGAGAATGAGGTGGCTGAATAGAGTCACTGAAGCAGTCAGCATAACCTTAAATGGTCTCCAGGGGATGGTAGAGGACAGAAAGGCCTGGAGGAAAGTTGTCCATGCAGTTGCAATGTGTCAGACATGACTTTGCAACTAACAACAACAATAAATAAATACATTAACCCCAGGGTGAGGGGCAAAGCATTATATATTACTATTCATTCAAAAACATGCAAAACATTGCTATAATCTTGTATTAGATGGTACATCATAAAAAAGAGGTTGGGTTTGTGTGTTGTCAACCATAGGATTGCAGCCTAAATGTTCCTGTACTCAGCCAGTCTTGTATAGTCAGCCTCCCATTGCTTAGTATGCTCCAGATGTTAGATACAGTATAACAGAGTTGGAAGGGACCTTGTAGGTCATCTAGTCCAACTCCCCACCCAGCAGACCATACACCATTTCTGAAAGATGGCAGACCAGTCTATTCTTGAAAGCTTCCAGTGATGAAGCTCCCACAACTTCTGGAGGCAACTTCTGTTCCATTGGTTGATTTTTTTCTCACTGTCAGAAAATTTCTCCTTATTTCCAGGTTGAATCTCTCCTTGTTCAGTTTCCATCCATTATTCCTAGTCTGGCATTCAGGTAATTTGGAAAATAGGTTGACCTCCTCCTCTCTGTGGCAGCCCCTCAAATATTGGAACACTGCTATCATGTCTCCCCTGGTCCTTCTCTAGCCATGCCCAATTCCTGCAACTGTTCATCATAAGTGTAACATACACATATATACACACACACACACAAAACACAAACCATAAACACATAAAATCGTAAAGTCATAAAATGAAGCAAACTCATTTAACAATTGCTTTGCTTAACAATGGAAATTTTAGGCACAACTGTAATATAAGTCAAGAACTACCTGCAATTTGTTTTGAAGTATGATAATTTGAGCATCGGGTGAGAATTCTGAGCTGATTTATTTGATGATTCTTTGGTTTCTTTTCTTGGCTGCCCATGATATTCTCAGGAGACTTCTCCAATATCAAAGATCAAAGGCATCAATACTTTTCTGACCTTTATATCCCCAGTGACTTCAGGATTAGCAGACATACATAAAAATCAAAGACTCTTTGATTAAAGCACACTTCCTTGTTATTATTGGGCTCTTCTTTGGGCACTGGACCATGTCCTTCTAATTTAGCATGATAATCCTTCAGATAATAATAAAGTAAAATATTCGTAGCTCTGTGTTGAAATGAGGCTTCCTTGGTGTTCTCTGAGCTTGGTTGGGGTTTTTTGGCAGAAGTTTCATTACCCAAACTAGGTGATATCATCAATGCTAGCAAGGTGGTAATGAAATGACTGCAAGAAAACATCCAAGCACAGAGAAAAGCAAGGAGGTCACCTTCAAATAAATTCTACAATTTGTATGATGTGTGTGTGTGTGTGTGTGTGTGTGTGTCTGTGTGTGTGTAGCCATACTGACTGACTGTTTGCATTATTTTGTCCTCTCCTATGATAACCATGATGAGAAAAAGCCTGAGGAAAAAGGAAAAGGAAACACCACTGCATTTAGATTCACCTATTGTTCCCAACCTCCTATTATGGGAAAACAGACTGCTGGGAAAACAATTTTCTATTCTTGTCTCCTTAAAAAAATTGGCTGTTCTGCTTTTCTCAGAAAGGCCATTACACGAATGTTTCTACACATTTGCCAACCTTGCTGGGAGTGTTGAAATCATATATAGGGTAAAGGACTTAAATGGACCTACCATTAACTTTTCAGCCAATACCCGATTTTGAGAACCACTTGAACTTCCAAATTGTACAATTACAATCAGAGTAGAACCGGAAGGGACCTTGGAGTTCTTCTAGTGCAACCCTCTGCTCAAACAGGAGACTCTATACCCATGTTGGCGAACCTATGGAACGTGTGCTGAAAGCTACATGCAGAATCATCCCACAAAGAATGTGAGGCCTTGCTGGCTCCTCTTCTGTGTTCCTGTGCACACACATGTGCCAATCAGCTGACTGTCACGCGTGTGGGAGCGGCAAAACCCAGAAGAGTGGCATTCCATCATGCATGCGCAAGCCAGCACCTGAACTTCTGGGTTTACATCGCATGCATGTGCAATGGCCATCTGTTTGTCAGGCGCTGGAAACCGGAAGTTTGGGTGTCAGCTCATGCATGTGTGATGGACCGCAACTCTTCCAGGTATTGGAGCTCCCGTGCACATGAAGGCCAGCGGGGTCGCGCGATCCAAGTGGGATGGTTTCACATGCCATTTCCGGCACACAGGCTGGCACGCGGTGATGTAAAAAGTTAGCCATCCCTGCCCTATACCATTACCATTTCAGACAAGTGGCTGTCAAGTCTCTTCTTAAAAACCTGCAGTGATGAAGCCCCCACGACTTCTAAAGGCAAGCTTTTCCATTGGTTAATTGTTCTCATTGTTAGGAAGTTTTTCCTTAATTGCTTCTTTCCTTGATTAGTTTCCATCCATTGTTCTTGTCTTCCCTTCTGGTGCTTTAGAAAATAAGTCCCCCCTCCTTCTTTGTGGCAGCCCCTCAAATTCTCTGGAATAATGCCATTCAAGAGTGCTGTGAGAAATTAAAATGGCAGCTCATGGCTTCTTGCTGTTTGAATCACTGTGGTCGTTTGTTATCTGACTCTTGCTACCAATTAAATCTGATGGGGGGGATAAGCTACTAATATAGGAAAGGTGCCACTACAGGGCACTTTGCCAAGTGCTCCACTAACCTAGAGCCAGTCCTGCAAAAGCAGTACAGAAATAGAAAGAGCTTGGAGATTCTGAAGTGGTTTCTACACTCCTTGACTTTTTCCCTTCAGTAAGCAAACAACAAGAAATGCTCCCTGCTTCTGCTCCTTCATCAGCCAGCTGTACCAAGGGGGCTCAGAGAAAAGGCATTTTCTCTTTATAGGCTGTCTAATCTGAAAGTAAACACGAGGATTTGAGCCAAGAGTGAAAAAAAAAAAAGAGACTTGTTTAAACAGTAAACAGTGCCTGCAAGAGCTATGTATTTAATAGAATAGCAAACAGCAACCCCAGCAGTGAAGGACACTTACTGTCCTATGGTAGCCTTGGGCTTCTCATAGGAGACCCTAAACATGAAGAAAAGCACCACAAATAAATACCAGTTCCTCAAATAAAGGAGATGCCAGTTTTGCTGCCTATCCTATTTAGAAGGTCATCCATCTCTAACCTGGCAACTAACCTGAGCCAAGCCCAGCAGCACCAGTGATCTAGACAGAAGTATGACATTCTCCTCTCCTCAGGATTTTAAAAAAGAAAAACAATTAAAAAAAAAGAAGTTCCAGCTGAAAGGACACACACAAAAAAAGACCCAGAGTGGAAAAACTGCCCTTGGAGAATTAAGATCTGTGTATGTACTTACGTGTGCAGAGATAGGCAAAGGTGGACAGAGACAGAGAGCGCAGATGTACGTGTTTTAACCCATATCACGAAACACTAACCAGAGTTCCAGATGGCTTTCATTCCATCTGGCAGGCTCTGGTGTGTAGGCAGAATCCATGCGTGATATAGAGCAGTTCCTCAGTAATCAAATCGCGCCAATGGCAGCGTTTTAGAGAAGCCAAGCCGAGGGCAGCTTTGGCAGCAAGTCTCATCCAGTGAGAGTTTGTGAAAACCTGTAAAACTCACAGGCACAGGGGAGATGGGGGGGGGAGCTGCAATGAAGTTTATGACCTTTAAACCAATCTTGCCTTTTTTTCCATCCACTTACCAATATAGGCCTTTATCAAATGCCTTTTGTGAGAAATTTTCATGATAGATTTGATGCAGTGGACACGATCCATTTATGCGATAGTAAAATAAAATTGACGAGTCCTTAAAAGTACACCAAAGCTCTAGGCCAGGGGTCAGCAACCTGCGGCTCCGGAGCCACATGAAGCTCTTTGGGACCTCTGCTGTGGCTCCCTGTCAGGTGATCCCACCACTGGTTAGCTCCGCCCCTCGCCCTTGCCTCCCAGTCACTCCTTGCCTGGCTTGAGAAGGTAAGGGCGATGGGGGGATGGAGAAGCAGCTAGGACAGAGACAGAGAGATACAGAGAGAGAGGGAGAGGGGGGGAGGAGGGAGGGAGGGGATATATGTCAAAAGGGTTTTGTGGTTCCCGGTGTTTTTTAACAATTGGTTCTCTGCCCTAATGACCGGCTGGGTAGGCATGGCTGGCGGGGGGAATAGTGCTGGCTGGGGGATACTGGGAGTTGAAGTCCCCCCATCTTCAAGCTTCCAAGGTTGAGAAATACTGATCTAGATCCTCCATTGATGTGAATTCCTCCATCTACTTCCCCGGTATTTATTTTTCATCCGTTGAACTCAATAACTGAACAATATTATACATTTATGGAAATCTGAAATCGGGATGTAACGTTGGACATTCCATTTGAACTTCTTTGATTTTTTTTTTTAAAAAATTCAGTTGATCCTGTCAAATGATGAATTATACTTCAGATGGGGCTTATTCCATCAGCAGTTCTCTTCTTTGATTCCTTTTTTAAAGAGAACCTACATAAAATATAGTTTTTAATCTCACCTAGTTTAATTTTACATGCTTTATCATCTTTCTCTTTGTCCTTGTCTCTTTCATGTTCTTCATCGTATCCCTGCCCCTCATTTCAAAAGCACATGTGCACTCATGCACACACAAACACACACACATACACGCACGAGCACGCACACAAGTTATATCTCCATTATTGAGTTTTTCTCTTTGTTTGAGACTCCCACTGGTATGCATAAGCTTTCTCTGCTTCAAAAGAAATAGGTACATCACTTTCTTCTTTCATGAATATTAAGAAACTCAAGCCAGAATTGGTCTTCCTCCCTCTCTCCCTCTCTCTCTCTCTCTCCTATTCTCTCTCTCTCTCTCTCTCTCTCTCTCTCTCTCTCTCTCTCTCTCTCTTCCATCTCTTCTCCCCCCCACTCCTTCTTTCTTTTTTCTTTTTTTCTTACAATGTTTCATGCCTTTGAGGGGAAAAAAATACATGTCACACAAAAGCAAGCTGTTGAGAAAAGACCATGACAAATATTTGACTCAATAAATAATTTTTGGTTCAGTTCAAAGGAAAATTGCCAGCATTTTGTTCACAGAAGGGACTTGGATGCCCTCCAGGAAGGACTGAATGGTGGTATGATGTTACAGCACATCAGAAAAGGCTTCAAGGCAAACAAGATGGAGTCTACAATTAGTTTACATTTCCATCCTCCATCTAAGTTTTGCCCTATTGGCTTCTTTAGACTAAATTAATGCTCTATGATAGAATTTTTCACAGGGATGTAACGAAGAAGACATCATGTTTATGAATTGTTAGATGTCTAACCACATTCAAAACGCAATATACCTCTAAAAATTATTTGCTGTGAAAGACAAAGAAGAAAAGTTACCTCCTATTTGCCTTGCTTGTTGGATTCTGGTATATAGCCACACTGCCAGGCTGCCACAGTGAAGGCCATCATCAGATCTGGAATGCAGGAATGAATGTAACTGTTTTCTACTTATCCACATTAGTTAGCAACTGCCCAAATTTTGATTGCATGACCTCGGGGATGCTTGAGATGATTGTAAGTGTGAACACTGATTGTAAGTCATCCCCATGCCATTGTGATTTTGAATCTTTGCTAAACAAATGGTTGTAAGTTGAGGACTAGCTAAATTGCTTTATTGAAGAGAAGATAAAAGCCATAAATAGACAGAAGATGTGCCTACAATTATATACTTGTAAAGGCAGCTGCAGGGGTGAATGTGCTCCAAGGACTGGTGTTCTTTATGAACTATGATGATGATGGGTTGCAGAACATTCCAGAGCAGATCCTGCCCTTTTGTGGTTGTGTCTTAATGTCAGATACAAGTACATAAATATGTTTGCATTGTGATGTCACAAAACATACACTTGCAGAGGCCTGCAATTCCTGTGTTTAAATCCTAGCTATTTTCTTCCCAGTTTTTTCTTTTTTTAAATAGAGTGAAACACTGGCATTTCTTTTACTGCCTAGAGATTTGGAGTTATAAGTTCAGTTTTTGTCTTGCCTAAGACCTGCTCATTCTATTTTGACAGCCTCAGCTCTGACAGCTAATGTAATGACTTAGATCAGCCTTTCTCAAGATGATGCATTGGGATAAATTCCTGAAATTAGGTTAATTTGTTCATTCTAAGCAAGTACTGCCCACCTTTTTCTTACAGGATTGCTATAGGCTTATTTTAGACAGATATAAATTCTATTTTCCCAGAAGCATTTTGCTATCCCTAAATTTAACATGCTATTATACTTAGTCACTCCTGAACTATTTGCTTCCATTGTGGGTTTTGCTCGTTGCTTGTTTTTGCTTTCAAATAATTGTATGCATTTGAAATGAAGACTCAAATCCGAAGAAAAATAAACATGATATTTCTGGGCTTGGTGTTGTTTTTTGAACAAACTATAAATAAAGGGGGGAAGAGAAACCCCAACACAAATATGTTAATTATGGGCTTCGTGGGAGAATACTGAAACAAAAGGATAAACAATCCTTAACAGCAGCTGAATAGACTAAAATAAAGTATTGACCCAGGTAGCTAAACTAAGTCTATCACAATACATTCAAGTATATCCCAAATAAATGGTGCAAGTGATCAATTTCCACTTGGAGTCTCATGTTCTCTTTACAGATAGTCCTCAATTTAGGATCACAATTGGGAGCAAAATTTACTTTGTTAAGCAGGGCCTGAGTAATAAATAGTTGTTAACTGAGCCACACTCAATTTTGCAATTGAATCCAACTTTCTTCATTGACATTTGTTTGTTGGAAGATAGCTGGGAAGGTCACAAATGATCAGATGCTGCATTTGAAAATATATGCTGGTTGCCAAGTGCCCAAATTTTTATCGTGTGACCATGGAGACATTGCAATGGTTGTAAGTCACTTTTTCAGTACTGTTGTAATTTGCTTCTCATGTTACCTACACAAAGGGTGATGGGCAATCAGAGGAACACAATATTTCAGAACCTTTATGATGTATTGATTAAAATATAATTATTGAAAGTCAATAGTATATTTGTTTCTTGCCCATTTGCTGATTCATGGGAAGGTCACGTAGGTTCAATTATTATTTTAATAAATCATAAAGGGTTTGAGAACTTCTGCTATAGGCTGATTATTTGAAAGTTAGAAGACAACTTTTATTTAAAAGACAACTATTTGGCTGGTTAAGCTGCTCATATATTTCTAGGCATCATGGAGGAAGATCTTTGTCCTGGAAGCCTAATTAATCAACAAACTTTATGTCTGTCTGTCTACCAGATCTCTCTCTCTCTCTTGCTAACTCTAAAGAAAGCTGCCAGCCAACCAGCTCATCTATCCATCAATCCATCCATTTTCCCATCCTCATCCTCATTATCTATCTATCTATCTATCTATCTATCTATCTATCTATCTATCTATGCATATTCTTTCTAGCCAGGTTTTACCTACGTAAACTTAGTTGTTCTACAGCCCTAGGTTCTGTGAAATCTCATTCACAAGTTTCTGGGCCTTTTTTCTGCTGACAAATATCTATCTATCTATCTACCTATTTATTATCTATCCATCCATCCATCCATCCATCCATCCATCCATCTCAACATTATCTATCTGTCTATCTATCTATCTATCTATCTATCTATCTATCTATCTATCTATCTTACCATCCATCCATCATCCATCCATCTATCCATCCTCATCACTATCTGTCTGTCTGTCTGTCTGTCTGTCTGTCTGTCTGTCTCTCTCTCTCTCTCTCTCTCTCTCTCCATCCATCCATCCATCCATCCATCCATCCATCTAGCTATTTTTATGTGCATGTCCACACAATTTTATATAGAGATGACATTTGGCAAACTAATATATGCACAATAATATCTGAAAAGGGGTGGGGAGAAATGGTTGTTTGATGGTTGTCCTCCTCCTTAGAGTAAGTAAAAACATATTTTTGCAACTTGCCCCAAGCTTTATTTGTTGGAATATTTCAACATTGATCTTTTCATCGCTGGGTTTAATTAAGCCTGACTCATCAGAGGGATGCCAGATCATCTTAGATCCCAGGTTCACTTTCCCAACACACTTGAATAAAACACCATTCTTGGATATTAGCCAGTTCCCCTTTAGTTTAGAACAGCCTCCCTTAAGAACACACCAATCAGCAAAGATTCAGCAAAACTTTTTGGGTGGGGGTGGGGGTGGGACACCTTTATGTTTTAATTTTTCTTTCATTGTCTCCAGCTCGGAATGAACAGAATGATTATAAAAAAACTTTCTCTCAACCCTCCCCTGCCCATATTACAGCCAATAAAATATCTTCAGCCGCCTGAGAAGTATTTGAGGGTTCCCTGTGCAGAAAGCATCTGCTGTCTAATGTATTAAATCCTTTTTTCTTTTTTTTTTTGCAACTATGTTGCAAAATAGTTTTGTCTCGCTCGTCCTTTT